TAATCATGCCATTGGGTGCGCCAACCAACCTGGTGGTAAGAAAAAGACCACTTTTAAGTCTTTTATCTAGATGAAGAATATATGTATTCTTTTTCATACTGAGCGTTGCTGGTACGTCAATTTTGTCTTGGGTTGGAAGCATCTTCGTTCTCCCCTTGGTAACGTGGAAATCCATTAACCCGATTTTAATCGGGTCAGCAAAATATAGCAACTTTAATGAACCAACAACTTCCATGATCACACCGTTGTAATAGAGTCCCCAACACCGCGAAGCAACGGATCACCCTGTTGAAGTGTCAACGAAATTAATGTGATGGCTCTCCTTCTTTGACCAGCAGCTTTTATTACCAAATCCTCACGTGCAGACTTTCTAGATATCCAATCCAAGTCTATATAAAACCTTTCTTCAAAGCCAACCCAATAAAATGCCTCCGTCTACTCTCTATTTCTTGGAAAGAAATGAACAAAAGGGACAGAGTTCATTGAAGAATTGTTCATAGTTTGATACCCTCTTCATATTCTTTTCATTACTTGTTCCACGTTCTTGTTTTTTTCTTTTTTTTTTTGCCCGGGAAAATCAAGCATCTTCAAAATTTTCATTATTTTGGTACATTGGTTGTAAGAGCTAAAAAGTGATAAAAAAAAATGGCGTCTTTGTTCGCCCCTGAAGATTTTGTTAGGCAGGTGAGTAGTAGGAGGTCGTCCAGCAGTTGGCGGGCCTCGAGTGTTAGAGAAATGTGGAATGCACCGGATGTGTTTCAGAGAAGTGGGAGGCAGGAAGTTGATGATGAAGAGGAGCTGAAATGGGCGGCACTAGAGAGGCTGCCAACTTATGACAGGCTGAGGAAGGGGATGCTGAAGCATGTCACGAGTAATGGCAGGGTTTTGCATGAAGAGAAAGATGTCACAAAGCTTGAGCCACAAGATAAGAAGCAGTTGATGGATAGCATACTCAACATTGTCGAGGACGATAACGAGAGGTTCTTGATGAGATTAAGGGACAGAACTGACAGGTTATTACTCTTTTTTTTGTTCTCTCTCTCTTTTGATTATAACTTGGAATTGTTTGCTTGGTGTATGAGAAAATGAAAGAGAATGAAATTCTTAGTTTTTTTGAATCTTATAGAATTTGTCTGTTGTTTGAAACAGGGTAGGAATTGAGATTCCTAAGGTTGAAATTAGATTTCAGAATTTATCTGTTGAAGGAGATGCACATGTTGGGACCAGAGCACTTCCAACCTTGTTGAATTCCACGTTGAATGCAGTTGAGGTAGTTTTTTCTGTTTCTTTGTTAGGTTCAATCTTTCTTTTCTTTTCTTTTCAGTTCTTTTGTTTTCTAATTATCAAACGCATATGAACTGAGATCCATGCTGGTAATATTTGAGGATTCTCATCTCTGTTACAATTGTATTGAGTAGGCACTTCTTGAACTAGTTGGACTTTCTCCATCAAAGAAAAGGGTTGTAAAGATTCTCCAAGATGTGAGTGGGGTAATAAAACCATCAAGGTATGTTCTTAATATTGAAAATCTTAATGCATGACAAGTATTGTATCTATATTAAGAGTTCCCTTATGTGATTCATCAATTCATTCCTTTGACTTTTTACTTCAGAATGACACTACTCCTCGGACCTCCTGGCTCAGGAAAAACTACACTGCTGAAAGCACTTGCTGGGAAACTTGATGATGATTTAAGGGTCTGTCTTCCTTAACACCTTTTTCCTTTATGTTTACCTTAGGTTCATGTATTCATTTAATTTTGCCATTTTTTCCCTTATTGTTCTTTGTGTATTGATGATTGGGGGATATAAACAGGTAACTGGCAGTGTCACCTACTGTGGACATGAATTTTCTGAGTTTGTCCCTCAGAGAACTAGTGCTTATATTAGCCAGCATGACCTGCACCATGGTGAGATGACAGTTCGGGAGACTTTAGATTTTTCTGGGCGTTGTTTGGGGGTTGGTACAAGGTATGAAATGATGCTAGAGTTATCGAGAAGAGAGAAGGAAGCTGGCATTAAACCAGATCCAGAGATTGATGCATTCATGAAAGCCACAGCTATGGCTGGACAGGAGACTAGTTTGATCACAGATTATGTCCTCAGGGTCTGTGCCCTCTAATTTAAGGTTGTATCTTGCATTTTTATTCTATGAATTAACACGCCTAAACATCATATGACTGTATAACAGATACTTGGACTGGACATATGTGCTGATATTATGGTGGGGGATGATATGAGAAGGGGTATCTCTGGAGGTCAAAAGAAGCGTGTAACAACTGGTAAGAGTTAATTAAATTAAGGACACAGTGAATTAGTGTAAACATGGATTGGTGTTCACAGCTGGTCATTGTTTCTCAAAACTCTAACTTGAACAGCTGATACTGAGTGCAGGAGAAATGTTGGTTGGGCCAGCAAAAGCATTTTTCATGGATGAAATATCGACAGGGCTAGACAGTTCCACCACATTCCAAATTGTCAGGTTTTTGAAGCAGATGGTTCATATTATGGATGTTTCAATGGTCATTTCCCTCTTGCAACCAGCACCTGAGACATTTGAACTCTTTGATAATGTTATCCTTCTTTCTGAGGGTCAAATTGTCTACCAAGGTCCTAGAGAGAATGTTCTTGAGTTCTTTGAATATATGGGCTTCAAATGCCCTGAAAGGAAGGGAGTTGCAGACTTTCTGCAGGAAGTAACTTCCAAGAAAGACCAAGAACAGTACTGGTTCAAGGAGAACCAACCTTACAGATTTATTTCAGTTCCCGAGTTTGCACGGACTTTCAATTCATTTCATGTTGGTCAACAGCTTTCAGAAGTTCTAAGAGTTCCTTTCAATAAATCCACAGCCCATCCTGCTTCTTTAGTGAAAGAGAAGTATGGTATCTCCAATTGGGAACTCTTCAGGGCTTGCTTTTCTAGGGAATTGCTGCTTATGAAGCGCAATTCTTTTGTTTACATTTTCAAGACTTCCCAGCTAATCTTCATGGCTACAATTGCCTTTACGGTCTTCCTGAGAACAGAAATGAAAGCTGGTCAGATAGATGATGGAGCAAAATTTTGGGGAGCATTGTTTTTCAGTCTCCTTAATGTTATGTTCAATGGGTTGGCAGAGTTGGCAATGACCATTTTTAGGCTGCCGGTGTTCTTTAAGCAGAGAGACTCCCTGTTTTACCCTTCATGGGCCTTTGCCTTGCCAATTTGGATCACAAGAATTCCTGTCTCCCTGATGGAATCTGCAATTTGGATTGTTCTTACATATTACACCATTGGGTTTGCACCTGCTGCGAGTAGGTAAGTCATTAAAATTCACTCTAATGGTTATCTTGTCAGCCTAATGATGCTTATGATCTTTTAATCTGCTAGTTGAATTGATTTGATGTGTGAATTATGCTGTCTTAACATATCTATAAAATGTCCAGGTTCTTCAAACAATTCTTGGCCTTCTTTGCCATAAACCAAATGGCCCTCTCCCTCTTCCGCTTCGTTGCAGCTGTTGGTAGAAGTGAAGTGGTTGCCAACACACTTGGTACATTTACTTTGCTACTGGTGTTCTTGCTAGGAGGTTTCATTGTGGCCAAAGGTTAAAAATCTTATCCTTTTAACTGTTCTGGCATTCCTGTCATTTAAGTTGCTGCATTTTAATGATTTATGTTTTTGTATTTCAAAATCCTAATGTGTCCATTGATAAGTAGCTAGTTTCTTTAATACACAAGACAATTGCGAAACTAATAAAATTGATCATGACTTTTCTTCTGTAGGTGACATTGCTACATGGATGATATGGGGCTATTACATTTCTCCTATGATGTATGGGCAAAATGCCATTGCTATTAATGAATTTCTTGATGACAGATGGAGCACAGTAAGTTGTTTTATCATTATGGCATAGAACGCTTCTGACATTCAGTTAACATTTATGATTTCCTTTCCATTCTCTTCATGCACACACGCATGCATTCTTTTTGAATTTGAATTTTGTTCAACTATGTTGCTAAATGTGGTAATGTCGCTTTGATACAGCCCAATGGCAACTCCACTGTTGGCAAGACCCTTCTTAAGAGTAGAGGCCTGTACACAGAAGAACATTTCTATTGGATTTGTGTTGGAGCACTTTTTGCATTTTCCCTTCTTTTCAATCTTCTATTCATTGCAGCATTGACATTTTTGAATCGTAAGTCCAAATTTCTCAATTGGTATTTCAATCCATGTTAAGGAATTGGAATCAATATGTTGATTTGATGCCTTCCTTTCAGCTCTGGGAGATTCTAAGGCTGTGATTGTGGAAGATGACTCCAAAAGCAAGAAGAAGAGGCAGTCAACATCCAATTCAGAAGGTTAGCAATTTTAAACATCACATTTATTATGGGTACCCAGCAAACTTCCTAGTTTTGCAGAACAATCAGAAAAAGAAATGATTATTTTATAGAATCAGTAATGTAACATTCTTCATTCATCTATGTCTTGCTTTACTACCATATTTTTCTCATTCATCATTCAATCATTACCTACAGGCATTGACATGTCAGTGAGAAATGATAAGGGGAATTCCAGCTCAATTGTCAGTGGTGGAAATGGTCAAGCCAAAAAGGGGATGGTTTTACCTTTCCAGCCCCTTTCACTTGCTTTCAACCATATGAATTACTCTGTGGATATGCCAGCAGTAAGTTGCTTTCTCCTGTGATATTTCAATATAAATGTGATGGGTCGCTTTAAATGTGCATAAAAAATCTCTTATCATGCAATTTTTTCCTGAAACTGTCAGGAAATGAAGAGTCAAGATGTTGAAGAGAGCCGGTTACAGTTGCTAAGAGATGTTAGTGGTGCTTTCAGGCCCGGTGTTCTGACTGCTCTAGTAGGTGTCAGTGGTGCTGGAAAGACAACTTTGATGGATGTCTTAGCAGGCAGGAAGACTGGGGGATACATTGAAGGAACTATAAGCATTTCAGGATACCCAAAGAACCAAGCCACATTTGCTAGGGTCAGCGGCTACTGTGAACAGAATGATATCCACTCACCCTATGTTACTGTCTATGAATCTCTACTATACTCTGCCTGGCTACGTCTTGCTTCAGATGTAAATAAGAAAACACGAAAGGCATGTGCCATTAACCATAAATTTTCTCTTTCTCCAGTCCTGCAACATTTAGCTGAGAGTGACATTCTTATCTTACAGATGTTTGTTGAGGAAGTTATGGAGTTGGTTGAGCTCAACCCTTTGAGGAATGCTCTAGTTGGTCTTCCGGGAGTAGATGGTCTTTCCACTGAACAAAGGAAGAGGCTGACCATAGCTGTAGAATTGGTTGCCAATCCCTCCATCATCTTCATGGATGAGCCTACATCAGGCCTTGATGCTAGAGCTGCTGCTATTGTTATGCGTACTGTGAGGAACACAGTAGATACAGGAAGAACTGTGGTCTGTACAATCCATCAACCAAGTATTGATATCTTTGAAGCTTTTGATGAGGTATAACTGAATTTCAAACACTTTAATTTTGTATAATGCAGATCTGATGGTCAGTACGTATTTCATGGACTACTTTTCTTATGATCTTTTTTTTCTTCAGCTCTTGTTGATGAAAAGGGGAGGACAAGTAATATATGCTGGACCTCTTGGTCGCCATTCTCACGAGCTTGTTGAATACTTTGAGGTGAGTCGTTGTTATAATCTGAATGGATGTTCCTAAAACATCAAATTCACAATCTGACTAATATTTGATTTCCTTTTCAGGCTATTCCTGGAGTTACCAAAATTAAAGAGGGCTATAACCCTGCCACCTGGATGTTGGAGGTCACTTCCACTGCAGTTGAGGCTCAGCTTGATGTTGATTTTGCCGAAGTTTATGCCAACTCTGATCTCTATAGGTAAGTTGTCAGCAAAAATGTTTTCACTGTAAAACCCCTCAAAACCTTCATCTTTGGAGACTAACTTTCTCTTTCACTTCATTTTTTCACTAATCCAGGAGAAACCAAGAACTCATAAAAGAACTAAGCACTCCTCAACCAGATTCCAAGGATCTTTACTTCCCCACTAAATATTCTCAGGGCTTCATCACCCAATGCAAGGCATGTTTCTGGAAACAACACTGGTCATATTGGAGGAACTCACGATACAATGCTATCCGGTTCTGTATGACTATTATCTTTGGTATTGTGTTTGGTTTCATATTCTGGGGCAAAGGAGACCAAAACCAAATGTAAGCAATCAGAGTACTTGAATATAATCAATTTTCCGAACAAAGCCTCTAACCAACATGCCAATCCATTCTTACTATGACATGGTTACGCTGGTTGCAGAGACAATCAACAGGACCTGATCAATCTTCTAGGAGCTACATATGCTGCTGTTCTTTTCCTTGGAGCCACCAATAGTTCAGCTGTGCAATCTGTTGTGGCAGTTGAAAGAACAGTCTTCTACCGTGAAAGAGCAGCAGGGATGTATTCAGAATTACCTTATGCATTTGCTCAGGTGAGGGATACTAAATTCTTCTCTTTTAGAAGAACGTAGAAGGGTGTTCTTATGTTTTCTGATATATATAAATATTAACACCTATCTTGTTCACTTGCAGGTGGCCATTGAGACGGTTTATGTCATAATTCAAACCCTTATTTATTCTCTACTTCTGTTCTCGATGATTGGGTTTCAGTGGCAAGCAGACAAGTTTTTCTACTTCTACTACTTCATATTAATGTGTTTCACATATTTCTCAATGTATGGGATGATGTTGATTGCTCTCACTCCTGGTCAACAAATTGCTGCGATTGTTATGTCCTTCTTGCTTAGCTTCTGGAACTTATTCTCTGGTTTCATGATCCCTAGACCGGTATGTAATCTTAATCCTATGTTTTCTCCACATTGGAATAACCTTGGCCTTGAGTTATTCCAATTTTAACACTTGTTCTGAAATAAATGCAGCTAATCCCTGTGTGGTGGAGGTGGTACTACTGGGGTTCTCCAGTTGCTTGGACAATATACGGCGTATTCACGTCTCAACTTGGTGACCTCGAAAAGAATATTCTACTTGAAAATGGTACACAAATAGCCGTGCCTCAATTCCTCAAGGATAGCATGGGTTTTGATCATGATTTCCTTATACCTGTAGTCCTTGCCCATGTTGGTTGGGTCTTGCTCTTTTTCTTCATTTTCGCCTACGGCATTAAGTACCTTAACTTCCAGAGGAGATGACAAAGTTGATTGCATGGCTAAGGAACCAAAAAGAACTTGAATATGTAATGATACAACAGTTTAGTTCACAATATCCATAGACTCATGGCAGTAGAGAAGAACAGTACATATACTGTCTACTGCCTCTTTTTTTTTTTCTTTTTGTTTTCTCTAAACTTTCTATTTTCCTTGTAAATTTATTTTGCCTAGTGATTACTTAATTTCTTATCATAGTGTATACCGTATAATTTTTATTCTAGCAAATTCCTATATTTTTTTAATAATATATGAAGAAAATTCCTTCATATTCTAAACTCGTTGCCTGCTTCATGAAGGATGCATATATTGACATCAAAAAGAAAAAAAAAAGGGATGCATTTGCAGTTGCATATAACTTTGGCCCAATTGATTAAATAGGCTTTTGCAATTAGGCCCAATTGAGGCCTAAAAGTAAGACAGATACAGGCTATGGTCCAGCACCACCATAGGGCATCTGTTCTAGCTAGCTTTGAACAGTTGAGCCTTTACAGTTGTAGATGGCAGAAGGCTGGAGGCCAAGGTTGTTTTGTTCTCAATTGATAACAGGCAAAAGATAAAATGATGTCCCACCAAAACCAAAAGCACAAAGCAATGCCTATGATTGTTAAACAGTTTTCTCCATTTCAAAAATTTTTCCATCATCACATCCCTCTACATGCATCAGTTGAACCCACCATTTACAACAGTTTTTGAACCTGAATTTTCCAAGAAAGATTGAGATGTACCAGCAAAATAGGTCCCTTGTGAGAACTAAAAAAATACCAGTCATCTTGATTTTTTTTGTTTTTTTATGGGAATGTTGCATTCTTGCTTAACAACTTCAAGCTGGAAGGGAATGATATGGTCCTAACTTGACTTGCCTGTTAAGACTCTTTTTGCCCACACCCTTTTGTAGGTGAGCACTTCTTGTCCACCCCAAAAGGTAAAACTTCTACCCCAAGCACTCATCTTCATGGAAAATGAAGATTTACCTATGCACTTCTGGACCTCTCAACAAATTCAATCAATTTAAATCATACCCTCATTATTAGATATCATGTTTATTTCGGATCTGACCAAAATGATTTCCTCACCAATTATTATGTTTTTCTTCAAGTATACACTAAAAATTTGAGGTTTTTTAGTGTAGTGTCTTGCAGCATTATGTTTTCATACATAGATTTGATGCTGATATTAGAGGAACTGCAATAGTTAACTGAACTTGTCAATTAACATATTGGGAAAACAGCTATCTGACCAACCCAGCTCCTTGATCAAGCTTGGAAAACACATAATTGGAAAGATTCGTATCAAAGTACTTGTAACTTGCTTCTAAGCTAAAGTATGAATACAAAAATTGTACCGATGGATGTTAATGAAGATGGGTTAAAGTAAAGATGGAAGGGATATATTTGAATTAAGTCTTTGTTCAACAAAGGTGAAATTCACTTTAATTTCATGATTATAAATAAAGTGAGTAAGCATCATGGTTGATTGTTTCACATCATTTTTTTATGTGTTGTTTTTTAAAGTAAGCCAGATGGTTTCATACCTTTAAAGCTAGTCTTGCATAAGGTATAACCACCAACAGCTGGGGAAAGAGGGCCATCATTCTGGAGAAAAAGGGAAAAGAGGATTGGAGCAAGAAAGAAAAGAAAAGTTCTAAGGACGGATCAATGGCAACAACACCAAAGCAGCAGATATGGGAGCAACAGCAATCACAGATTCAGCGAGTAAAGAACACGGGGATCATCAGCGGCAATGGGAGTCCAGTAACGGATGAAAAGGAGGAGGAAATGACAAGATCTGCATTGGCATTGTTTCGAGCCAAAGAGGAAGAGATTGAGAGGAGGAAGATGGAGGTCAGAAACAAGGTTCATGCTCATATTGGACGTGTAGAAGAAGAAACAAGGCGCTTGGCTGAGATTCGTGAAGTAAGTTAGAAAGTCCATTAGGAATTGAGGATCATAGATAACTACTGTTACCATGACCATGAGAACTTTTGATGGGAAACATCATGTCTTCTTTTAACTAATGAAATTTTTTCAGGAACTCGAAGCACTTGTAGATCCAATGAGGAAGGAGGTGGCAATGCTTCGTAAGAGGATAGACACAGTTAACCGGGAACTAAGGCCATTGGGACTGAGCTGCCAAAAGAAGGTGAAATATTTTTTCAGCTTTTGATTTCAGGTTACCATAATAGTACTTTAGCAGTTCAATACGGAGCAATCTTTTGTGCTTTTTTGATCATAGGAAAGAGAATACAAAGAAGTCCTTGAAGCCTTCAATGAGAAGAATAAGGAGAAATCACAACTTGTTGGCAAACTAATGGAGGTGAATATGCATCTTTCTCTGCATTTAAATGAAATCATATCTGAGAATCTGTAATTAACACATTCTTTTCTTCTTTTCCTTCTCTCTTCTTGATATTTGATTGGCAGCTGGTGAGTGAAAGTGAGAGATTGAGGATGAAGAAGCTGGAGGAGCTGAGCAAAAACGTTGAAAGCCTTCACTGAAATTTACTAACATACAAGTTACAACAAAAAAATTCTATCTTTGTGTGATGTAATTAGAGTTGTTTTCTAATTTCTGGTCTGCTGTTGTCGTGTCTGTTGTTTAATTCTGTATGGTAATTCATGGGAAAGTTTGCTGATTTAGGAAGGTCTGTCACCAAAAATACCAAATTTATTGTACTCAAAATATGGCTTATGCTTGCTCATCCATGAAACAGAACTGCATATAGGGCATATAAGCACATGGGATCCGGAAGGATGTAGCTGTTGGCCATTTGTCTGTATAAAGCCAATGTCATGTTGCAAATAGAAAGCAATGTGTTTGATCTTTTCTTTTTAAAAGAACAGATTCTTTTCCTGTTTTATAAATCAAGAAAACAAGAAGCATGCCCTTAAATGCTGAAACAAAAACTAGAATAATCTTTCTGGTTGTCAATAACATAGCATGGCTTGAAATATCATTTGAAAAACTAAAGGGTTATGCATTTCAAAAGAAGTTTCATTACAATTCTCATAACCTTCCCAATTTTCAACCTCACCTATTTGCTAGAAGGAAGAGCAACTAGTAATCCTGGCTAGATTCATCCTTAACAAGTTGTGATATCTTCTTTGCTACTAAATCAATCTCTTCACCTCTTTTCTCTCTCATTTTCTTGCCCAATTCTTTCGCTCTAAGTCTTACCTTTTCCCCTTGTTTTGCCACAACAACTTCATTGATCACACTTGCCACCTCTTCTCTCTTGAACTTTCCATTATTTCTTGGCACCTGGCTTCCAAGATACCCTTCTACTACCAATTTAGCATTCAGAGGCTGATCAAGCTGCATTGGCATGGCTATGATTGGAACACCAAACATCATACCCTCTAGTATTGAACTCCATCCACAGTGACTCACAAACCCTCCAATGCTCCCATGACTCAGGATTTTTGCTTGAGGTGCCCATCCTTCTAAAACCATTCCCCTCTCCCCAATCCTCCTCAAAAACCCTTCCGGTAGCACATCATGAATGGTAGTTCTGCCTCTGTCTCCTCCATGAAACCTCACAACCCAGATGAAGCTGACCTTGCTAAGCTCCAGCCCATGAGCTATCTCCTCCACCTCTTCTTTAGAAAGAAAATACTCACTCCCAAAGGAAACATAAGCAACCGAAGATGGTTCTTTGTCACTCAGCCAGTTCATGATCATCACTGAATCCTCATCTTTGTATTCAGGCTCCTGAACAAGAGGGCCAACAGGAACTATCTCATTCTGTACCAGCCCAGAGAGATAATCAATATACTTTCCTTCAATCTCTCTTGATGTCTTCATCAAGACAAAACCGGCAGATCTCCTAAAGGATTCCAAGTACCTCTCTCCATTTGTTTTCCCATTAGCAGAATCATGCATGAATTTCATCATTTCCCGGCGTTCTGTTTCCGGAAAATTGATCTCCTGGAAAGGAAATTCCTTTCTTCGATCATCCATGATACTGTAATGGACCAAAAAAGAACTACTCACAGCACCAACAGTCATGAACGTAACAGCTTGAATACCTTGCTCCTCAGCAGCATCCTTAGCCCATGGCTGCAAGTAATAAAAAATGACAATGTCTGGCTTAAGAGTCATAAGAATCCTGGAAAACTCTGGCTTGGCCATATCAAGAGCAGTTTTGAGGGTGGACATTAGATGGGGAGGGAGGTCTTTGGTGGTGTGAAATTGAGGAGGGAGTTGATCCATTGGAGGAAGTTGGAGATCTACGAGCTGAATTGAACTCATGGGCTCATAGTTTTCCCTGATAGGTTTTAAATTAACAGGTGTAGAACAAAAAAAGACTTGGAAGTTTTTCTGGGTAAGATTCTTGGCTAACTCCAAGTAGGGTGAGATGTGGCCATGAGCTAACCAGGGAAACATCAGAATGCTTATTTTTTCTAGTGTTGCTGCCATGACTAGTCTCCTTGATTCTGTACTCTGTCTTCTCGTCTCAGTCTTGTTAGGACATATTTGGATAAAAATTAGGTTAAAATTTTTTTTTGGTCTCTGAATTATTGTACAGATTTTTGTTTTATTTTTTAACTTAAAAAAATTTTTGATTTGGTTCAAATTTGTAAAATTGGTAGACAGTAGAGATCAAATCAAGAATTTTTTTAGTTTAGGGGCTAAATCAAAAGTTTGTATAATAGTTTATGAATTAAAAAAGGATTTTAACCTAAAAATTATTAAAAGGAAAAATTTGTAATGGGAAAGAAAGAGGATAGAGAAGTAAAGGAAGGTAGAGTAAAAAATTAGTTTTAAATTTAATTTAGATAGGTAAAATGAAAGGAGTTAGGGCTTTTATCAAGCTATTAATTATATGATTTTCAGTTCGAGATTTACGTGATAAATGATTTGATGGATGTCTTAACAGTTTTGGGCAGAGAAAACAGGGGAGGAAGATGGACAGTAGCAGTGACTTGCAGAGACCCAGAAAGGAAGAAGAGAAGCCAAAGGTCGTGGTGATAATGGGTCCAAATGGGTCGAGCAAATCACGGCTGGCCATTGATTTGGCAGCCGATTCCATGCAGGTCCATGAAGGTCTTGATGTCCAAGAACAAAAGGGTCTGTACTACATGTACATATAATTTTGCTTGTGTGCCTTGGTCTCCTTGTTCTTTTAGCTACTTTGAAGTTTTTATGATTCTGGAAGTGTAATGTTGTTTAGGAGTTCCTCATCATCTGTTGGGTACTGTAAGCCCAAACGTAGAATTCACTGCTAAGAAATTTTGTAATTCTGCCATTCCTGTGAGTTAAATTTGGATTCTTTTCTTTTCTTTCCCTGCCAATTTTACATTGGGTAATTTTGTTATCTGAGCAGCGAGCTGGCAATTTATTTTTTCACTCTTTTTGGTAAATTTGAACGTGCAATAGTTCAGTACCCTAGACCATTCTTCCTTGCTTTCTTTCTTCTTATATATACTTTGTTGGGCAATCACATTTTCAGATCATTAATGACATTTTGTCATGAAAATGCTTGCCTGTCATTGTTGGAGGTACGAATTACTATATACAGGTAAGCATTTGATGCATGTTCAACAAACTCTGCTGGAGGTTATATTTTTGAAAACTTCATCTGTCATTTTTCCTTCTACTCTATATCCCAATCATGACACTAATGTTTTGAGTTACTGAGCAACTCATTGACTTTGGTCTTTAACATCAGCTGCTGCTGGTCCTTAATGGGAAACAGTGTGATTAAAGTCTAATTCTGATATACCATTGGGGAAATCCTGTATCTGAATCTTTTAGCACAGAAACAATGGCTTAGTCTTGTGGCTTCCAATCTTGGAAGACCTATTAGCATGGAGAATTTTGCTTTGCAGAAAAGGAGGCTCAAGCGGCTTCAAACATTGTTTGGATGGACCATTCAGTATGCTAATTTAACAGAATCCATTTGAGGTGCCCTCTTGGAATCATGTCTGTTAGTGTGAGTCATTTTTTCATTCAAGAAACCCATATTCGAATGTTCTCAAGGGAATCATATGATGATGTGTATTTTCCAGGAGGATCAGATAAGTGTTGGGTAGAACAAGTGGTTGGTCCTGCTGTTAAAATTATCAGATCTTTCCTCAGTGAAGATGCTGGTCGGTGTTCAATCTGAAGGGGACAAACCAAACTGCAACAAATTCAATCTGTAGGGATCTATGGACCCAATATGTCTGCAAGGTCAGCTATGCTTGTAATACTATTGGAAATCTGCATGATTTTTGTAAACTTTTATGTTAGAAACTTAGAATCTGCTGACCATTCAGATTGTAGCGCCTGACTGTAACAATTCTTAGCACATAATTTGGTTGTTGATAGGCTTGTGGGGATAGGATACTGAGAGGAGCTCATGATTGGGAACAACATATACAAGGACGAGGCCATCGAAAACACATTTCCCGGCTGAGGAAGCTTGAAGATCCCTGCTTAATTCGATTGCAACAAGAGTTAAAATCCTAGCTCTAATGTTGCCATTTCCTAACAGGTTCTGATTATCGCTCTGATTCTGTAAACTTTAAAGGTACTTATCCTTGAAATGCATCAACCTTTCATACAGACAAACATCATATATCCTTGTATGAACACAGGTTTCCCAATGAGGATTTTTTTTATTTTTTTTTTTGAGCATAAAAGTCATTGACTATCAGGTGCTGGATTTTCTTTAGTATTTCATACTGTAGCCAGATATTTATAAGAGAAGCTTGAGTAATGTTTTACAAACATCACATATATAACACAGAAAAGGCTTTGTGGATGGTCTTGTGATTGCATTTCATGTCCCTCGTCCGTTAATCAGAATTGTGATTGAGCAGATTAGGCCTGGACCTGGAGGGTTACAGGTGAACCGCTTTTGTATCTTTATGTGCTTTATCAGATAGGATCTAGTGCATCTGTTCTACTATAATTAGATCTTACATGACTGAACTAGCACTCTATAAGTAAATGAACGTTTGTTGCTCACAAACTTATTCAGGATACTTACATTTAAAAAAAAAAAAATCTATATTTTAAAATATGAAATTACTATTGATGTCATGAACATATACTTACATTTAAAAAAAAAAAAATCTATATTTTAAAATATGAAATTACTATTGATGTCATGAACATGTAACTTCTTCATTTTTTTTTTTCTTGTTAATGAGATTGGAGAGGGGCAAAGGGTCGGCTGGGGCTCAAATTCATGCCCCAGCTGGGTAACGGGTATCCCCACTTGCAGCCACCTGAGGTGGGGATGCTGGATCAATTGATTTTGATTCAAAGCGAAGGGCATATATTCAGATATTACGTATCACCTAACATTTCTTCATAATTTTGAGAAATGTTTGAGCTAGAGATTCCTTAAAGATAAGTAGTGATATTCCATCCATGAATTATGATCCAAACATATAATCTTGAAGCACATGGGCTGTGACCCTATGTCCCTTAAGATTTTCAGAGAGATTGAAAGGGGAACCCACAATTCAATAAAAATGGCACTAAAAACATATGCAGGACCCCATTCATATGCCAATCCAACGTATAGGACAATGTTAAAGGACAATTTTTTGTGCTGTGCAGTGGAGAACAATTTTGTGCTGTGCAGTGTAGATAGATATTGCCGACTCGTGGGACTCCACCGCCCCACGTAATTCTGTATCTTTCCAAATATTGAGATGCAGATCTTGTCCAACAAAGAAGAGACTTGATCGGTCTTCATGGGTTTTAAGGGAGGAGTACAGGTGGGACTATTGAAGTTGACACAACAATAATTGTCTAGTAATTCTCTATATAAACAGTATGTGCTTTTGGTGATAATACTCATCTTCTTGGGGTTGGTTTTCTGGAGAAAAATGGCAGGGGAGTTCAAGCACCTTGTGATTGTCAAGTTTAAGGTTAATGCTGATGTGGATGGGATCATCAAAGGAATGGAGAAGCTGGTTTCAGAGGTAGATCTTGTAAAGTCATTTGAATGGTAAGTCTTGCAGTAACCTTTAGTATTTGTATCACTGCATCATAAAGGGCTGTTCCATGATCAAATGTATAGATCATGTCTGATTTGAATATCATACGACTTGAGATAGTATTTCTTAAAATCTTGATGGATTGTTATTTATATATCATTTCAACAGGGGTAAAGATGTGGAAAGTGATGAGATGCTTAGGCAAGGCTTCACTCATGCCATATTGATGACATTCAACAAGAAAGAAGACTATGCTGCATTTGCCAGCCATCCAAACCATGTTGAATTCTCTGCCACATTCTCTGCAGCTATTGAAAAGATTGTTCTTCTCGATTTCCCAACTGTTCTGGTCAAGGCATCAAAATGATGTACCTCTTTCAAAAATAATAACCTGCCTTCTTCTCGAAGCAAGATATGTATGTGTGTTATGTGTGTGTGCGTGTGTAATGTTAGTGCTTGCAATTTTATATGTTTTGGATTGTTATTGGTGTTACTTCCAATGCAACTTTAGCCTGTATTATTCATGTCGATTACAGGTAGAACTACTTTATTGACTTTGTTGCTACTCTTTATCTGATGCAATCCATGATTTTGATATCTCATCCAGCTCTATCATGATGGACTTGGCGATCCATGATTTTGATATCTCATCCAGCTCTATCATGGACTTGGTCCATCTTAAAACCCTGCCATTGAGATCATTATCCCAGCTAATTGTTTATTCCTGGATATGAATGCAACTCTTTTCGGCATGAACCCAGAGAAAAATGACCCATGAAACAGGACCCGCTATGCATGTATGTTTCCATTGCCTTGGAGTTGGCCAGAAAAGAAAGAAAAGCATGTATGGGAGTCAAGTCAGAAAAGTTGGAAAAAGAGGAGAGAAAAAGGTTTCCTTTTTCTTAATGGTGGATGGAAAGGAACAAGCAGAAAGCAATATTCATTTACACATCAAAAGAGAAGATTCCCCCTTTGTCTACTTTTTCTTATCTCACTCTGTTCATCAAAGGCAATATCCCAGAATTTTCTCCACTCATCTTTACATCATTTCACAAACAAAGACAGAATGCAAAGTTTCAAGAAACTCAATCTTCTGCTTATCCTCAAGTTCTTCTTCATCACTATCTCAGCTATCCAGTATTCTGCTGAATCTGCTCACACCCTCTTCTGTGGTAACATCCCAATTCAAGCACCTTTCTTGAGATCAAATTCCTCAAAGCCACCTGTACAAAACAGCATGATCATATGCAAATCTCAAAAGCTATACTTCAGAACATCTATAGGTCTTTTCCCTATCTCTTCCGTCGATTACACCACCAAAACCCTAACTGTCTCTCACCCTTCTCGTTCTCCTTCCCGGCGATATATCTCCCCTGCTCTCCTCTACGCCGGTCTCCCTCCACCTCCACATCCCAACGCCCTTCTTCTCTTCAACTGTTCAAACAAAAGGAACCCACTTTCCCCTTATATCCGCAACTGCACCCGCTTACATCAATGCGGCTCTGCTTCTGATCAGATTAAGGAACAAGAAGTAAAAGTACCTAATTCATGTCTAATTGTCCAAGACATTGAAAAACTTGAGATGGGTTTTCATCCAAACGAACTGGGTTGCTCGCATTTCAGAAGGGTTCATAGAAGATCTCTGATTGATGTTGATGAGTATGAAGGGGTTGAGCCTGGAACGAGGATTTCCTTCGACATTCCTGATCATGTACCGGATATGTGCAAGGAGTGTGAGAAGCCTAATGGCAATTGTGGTGTGGGGTTAAGGTGCATCTGCCACCCAAAAGAATGTAGTAAGTAACAAAACCCTATAAACCCTAATCTTCTTCTGCAACTTGAATTTGGCTTCAATTCCCTTCATTTTGTTTTGATTTCTGATGTTTTTTGAATGGTGTTTCTGCAGAAGATAAGGTGATTTCAGGAGTTGGATCCATGAATTCTGGTGGGGGTTTTCTGTTTTCCTTCGTTTCTCTTCTTATTGTAATAGAAATGAATATATGAATGAATTATTGTTGATTCAATGGAATTTTGCTTGGAGCATTACTGAGGGAAAACTCTGTTTCTTCTTGATGGACATTGGATGATATCTCTGATCTCAAATCTAATCCAAAGAAAATGGAAATTTAGAATTTTTCTGAAGATTCCCACATGGGCCTTCCAGTTAACGGAAGGAAATTACCCATGGCGGACTCAAACCCAATTGCAAGTGAGGATGGCCCCTTTTCACTTTTCAGCTTTTCTGTTTTGGGCTTATGAACTCCTGGGTCTGTTTCTCCAAAGAACCCCGCCCACTTCAGATTTTGCGACAAATTACAAGGAAGAACATACAAGAAAAGATGTGATTGTTTCTTGAACGAAGTTGACTCAGACAATCATTATGGGTTAGTACTTCATATGAATCATGTGGTTTTAAATCAATTTGTCCAATTTTCTCTTACACTTTTCCACCTTGCGCATGGACCCATTTTCTTGCCCTTTGCCTAATTACCCAAAATCTATGTGCATCTTTGTCTTTGTCAAACCTATCCTACTTCTGCAATGCCAATTACAAAAGTTGGTGAACCTCCGCAATGGACATCTTAAATGTAGCAATGTTGGGGAAGTAACTAACCGATGTTGAAAGGAAGGGAAGAAAACCAGTCAAATATCAAACTTAGTTGGCCAAAGGAAATTTGCTACTACTTGGAAAGAAGAGGGAAGTAAGAGAGAAAGACCCACGAGCCAGAATTTCAAGTTTTATGTGTTGAATGAAAGGAAACTATAAAAATCATGCAAAGTATGACAACTATAATTGCATTCATGAGGTGAGGTAAGGTAGTTTGAAATTCAATTCTCAAGAACTACAACAATAATAATATGTTCAAAGAGAGTCCAGTCCTTTGCCATGTTCTAATTGTTTTGGGGGGAAAAAATTAAAAACTTCCCCAACATTCTCTTTTGCATAGTGCCCATAAAGCATATTTGTCTACATATACGATGACACTCATGATTCTGCCCCAACTGCAATTCAAACTGTCAACTTTAGCATCTCTCATCTTTTTTGTAAGCTGAACAGATGCGCCAAATAGTATGAGTGAAGAGACTAGAGATGTTTGTGCATAGTAGAGGCATGATCTTCTCAAGGATAAAGATTCGAGTGGGACTTAAAAACCAAAACCCAATAAAAAACAAGATGTAAAAATTTAATGAAAAAACAAAAGGCTGGTGAACCATCATCAACCTCTAATTATCACACATTCTGCAAGATACCAAACCTCCTTTTGTGAGTAATGTCAATGGGGTACTTCTTCATTGTTCTCATTTACATTTCACCGTCCAATGGCATGAGTGGGAGCCAAGGAATAAATGTCACTGTTCAAGAAAGTTACTGTAATCCTCCATAGCTGCATAGCATGTGATGGTCCAAGGAAGCACATAAATTAAGAGTTACTTGAAAAGAAAAAGTTCTGTTGACACTGAATTCAAGTGCTCTGAGCAAGGTATTGTTTTTTTGTTTTTTGTGGACCAAACAATAATTTGAAGAACTAGAGGGACCAATCTAAGCCCATGCTACTAATTGCGGTTTTGGCAATGGGGGAGGGGGAGGTCCTTGAACAGATGGGACAAGTCCCTTGGGACACAGAAGGTATCACAATCAAACAACACTTGTGCAGAATTGGGCAAACTTGATTTGGATGGATTTAATTTGATATTGATGTCTGTCTAAGCTAACTACAGCTACCCCAAACTTGCTTTGATGCCTAATGGAATCCAAAAAAAAAAAAAAAATGCAGAGAAAGAAGAAAGAAAAAGAAGCAGCTCATAACAGAATTAAAAGAGTATGGTCAAAATGTTTCTGATCATTATCAGTAGATTCTCAACTTTACTTTGTCCTTTGAAAGGGGAAAAGTAATCTTCTTTCTTATCTTTCAGATTATGCAAATGCCTTTTGGCAAATCTTCCTTGATACCCTTCTCAATACAATCCACAAAAGCTTGTTTGTGCTGCCCTCCCCCCATCACACCTTTCAATTATTTGAACCTCACCACAAAAAAAAAAAAAAGACACTAAATTCACATTTTTACCCCTCTCATATTTTTACGACTCTCATATCTAAGTGAGACTCCAATAATAATTACATACGGTCAACTTTCAGTAAAATTCTGAGTCAAGATGAAACAAGAATCAGCTGAACAGAACAGAACAGAGTACATGATCAACCTTCATATCTATCATCCAAAAGTTCAGATTCTGCACTCCAAAAGTTATTTCCTTTGCTCAAAATGATCAAAGAATTAGGTATCAATTTCCCTCAAATTGTTAGAAAATAAAGAAGTAGAAGAAAACGAAGAGAATAAAAAGAATTAAATCGAGAGCAAACAAGAACAAGTTAGTTTTTCATGAACTCTTACAAGCATAGATTAACAATGAGAACTCAACTTTGTCTTGTTCTTTCTGGACCGGCTTCTCCTCCAACCAAAGTCTGCTGTCCAAACCACTTCTTGTCCGGAACATGAACACAGCATATCCAGGGACAGGACTGTAAAACCAATCATGAACATCCCACATCAAATCAACAAGCAACCCATCAACGAAAATCGTCTGGTTTCCCCTGAAATTCCACTGCAATCTCTTCACACGGATCACCATCTTTTTGTCTATGCAGACGGATAAAGTTGGATGCTTTTGGCGTTCGTTTTCGCCGCTGCATTTGATCCAGATGTCGTGTGAAATTCCGGTATCGGAGAATTGAGCCTTTGTAGAATAAAGGGTACTGCCGGAACAGTGTTCTTGCCGGGAAACTAAGGAGACTTTAGCTGGAGTAGTTGTCTTGAACTTCTTGGTGACGACTTCCTCCGCCGTGTTTTCTCCTAGAAGTAGGCCAATCTCTGAATCAACCATGACCAGGACGAAAAACCCATCAACAGGTTCAGGTCCTGTATCATACTTGGCATTACAGAGATCCCAGAAGACTTCGATCTTCATATGATCAGATTCAACCAATTTGCTGCCTTTCTTCTTCCTGAACAGCCTGGAATTGGTGTTGAGCTTGAAACAGGCTGACGGATCGTCCCCAAAGTGCATGGTTAGGCCTTGGTTGGTTTGGTTCCGGCACCAGGTGACTTTGATCAAGACCTGCTTTTGGGAGGAACAGAGAATGACTCTGTAAAGACTGGTCACTGCCTTCTGGACAGAAGGGATTAGGGTGGGAGAGATACAAGCATTGCCTGAATAGCTAGAACAAGAAGAATGAGACACATTTACTGCATTTTCACTAAAACAAGAAACAATATCCCTCATTGTAGATGAAATTATGAAGGAAACTGGAGATGGGTTTTGGAGATGGGTTTTGGAGATCTGAAGGTTTTTGGAGAAATAGGTGTTTGTGTTTTGGCTTGTACTAAGAAGAAATGAACGGGTTAAGGGAAGGACAAGGTAGGCTAGGCGCTTTTGAACCGTCTCTCCCCCTTCCGGCTTTCAATTTTTGTAAAGAATAAATTTTCTTCTTATGGAGATGACTTCCCATGTACCTGACAGATCCATAAGTATTTGATACAAATATTTATAATCTGAATCTTAGAAGAGAGGAAAGAAGGGAAAGAGAAGGCTGATGTTTTGTTCCTTTAATCAGTGTTTCCAGATCGCAGAAAAACATTTAAAATGAAAGAATAAAGTGCATCCAAAAAATAAATAAATAAATCAGAGAATGAAATGGGTTTTAAATCTTGATACGAATGGAGAGAAATTTATGCTCTCTGTATATGTATGGATATGTATATATGTACAAATCATATAAGTTCTATTTATATATAAATGTAACTTATTATATTTATATAAAATTTTAATTATTTATTATTTATTTTTAATAATTAAAATTTATTATAACATTTTAGATAAAAAAAATTATTTTTAATAAATATAAATAAATCATAATTATTAAAAGTGAACAGATAAATAATTAAAATTTTATATAA